TCCTGGTTGTTTAGGTAAACACAGTCTGTTTACATCCTGGTTGTTTACTACAATGTTCAGTCAATAATAAACATCAGCTGCTCACCAAAGCGCAGCAGCTTCCAGCTCGAGCAGCCGGACTTTAGCTGATAGTTTTTAATAGCTGTTTTCATGGAGGCTGAAAGTCGTGTGATGGAACAGCTGAAGCTTGTTGTTTTAGCTGTGCAGATGCACGAACAGCTAAAGGTGGAGTGTTTGCTCTGCAGGCTGCTCTGGAGACTCTGAGGTCTGAAACGACAGAGAAACAGAAGAACTTGGAGGAAGAGGTTGATGCTCTGAGGAAGGCCGGACGAGACCGGGAGAAAGACCTGGACACGCTCAGCGCGGTGCTGCAGTGCAACCAAGACCTGATCAACGTAAGACCCGGAGGTGGACGTGATCCGGACCAGTTGGGCTCAGGCGCTCAGATCTGTGGTTTGTTCTGGTCTTAGGATCTGCGAGGAGCTCTGGAGGAGAAGCAGTATCTCCTGAAGGAGGTGGACAAGGAGCAAGAGCTGTGGCGACGGAGAGATGGAGCCCTCGCTGCCGTCCTGAAGGAGAAGGAGGTTCTGATCCAGAACCTCAAACAGCAGCTGCAGGTTTGTGAGACCGACACAAAGGCACCAGTTCTCCGGTGTCTCTCTGGGTTTTCAGAATTGCAGCGTTTCAACCAGGTTGAGGTTCTGGACCTCAGTTCTTCTCTTTCTGAGCCATCCTGTTGCATCATGACCCAGTTTGGTCCAAGCTTCAGCTCTTGGACAGATCACTCCAGAATCATTTAGCTCCACGGGTCTTAAACTGCGGTACCGGTACCACTGGGCCAGTTGTGTATTCAAGCTTTTGGCAAATTTTGGCCCAACGTTCACGGGTAGTTCTTGTAAACATGTGATTCTTTGTGAACCCAAAGTCAAATTTTCAGCTTTTCCAACGTTTTTGTGTCTCCACCAAACCCCGACAGCCAGAGTCCAGTGGGACACAACGTTCAGGTCTACAGAAGACTTCATGGTGGACCAGGTCCTGGAAAATGAGCCCTCCACCTCTGTGCTGACGGCACTTTTGAGAGTTTGGCCTTTTTAGAAAACGTTCTACTGCAGCCCTTCCAAACAAGCCATGACCTTTGACCTGCTGACTGATGCCTGTAGAGTCTGAGATGGAGCTGACTGCATGGTCTGACCTTCGGGGTGAATCTAAACTGAATGTGAAGACTCCTCTGTAGAGAGATGGACTCTAAATAACCTTCGACTCTTCTCACTGACGAGCAGCAGCAGCTGCTTCTCAGGTCATTGCTGATGTCTTTCCGTCTTGGCGTTGTGCTAACGCTCAGCTGTCAGCTCCAGAGCAGCAGAAGCTGCTGCTTTATGGAGGTGAAACACTAATTTACTCCTCAGGGGAAACTAAAGCCACACGTTTAGTTTAATATTTACAAAATGTTTGCATGTTGGAAATTTAATCACAGGATTCAGCTGGTTCCTAAAAGATGTTTTAATATTTGAAAGATGTTCCCAGATGTGAAACAGCTGCTTGATTTTAACGTTTCTGAAAAATCTTAAAGCAGAATGGGTTTCTTCTTATTTTTACATGCAGTTTTTCCAACATAGATTAATTTAAACCAACTGTTTTTGAAGAAACTAAATAGAAACTTTAATCTTTTTATTTTTATCTGTGTTCATTCAACCTTTATTTAAACAGGTTAGTCCCGTTGAGACACGAGGACTCATTTACAAGAGAGACCTGAGAAACCTGTAAACTTTGCAGCCTTAAAATCATCGTTTAGCTCAGACTAAATCGATGCGTCTGTAATCATCATGTTTTCCTTCCAGGCTCTCTCCAGCTCTGCGATTGGTCCGCAGTTGTCAGGGGGCGGGGCTGAACTGACGGAAAATGGCGCCATCTTGTGTCAGGAGGTGACCAAACTGACGGCAGCCCTGCAGGAGAGTCAGAAGGAGCTGCAGGTGGGAGGAGTTTGACCTCAGAGGGTCTGAGTTGACCTCAGTGGAGGAGCTGTCAGCTCTGAACTGATTGATTTTATTTTTCATCAGGCGGAGCGGGACAGGCACAGCCGGGAGGTTTCCTCTCTGATGGACCGGCTCAGGGGCCTTCAGCAGGAGCTGAGGGAGGTGCAGAAGGAGAGGAAGGAGGCGGAGAGAGCCCAGCAGAACCAGCGAGAGGACCGAGAGCGAGAGGAGAGGAGGCTGAGGGACAACCTGATGAAGAGGGACAAACTCATCGAGGTCGAAACATCCAGAATTCTGAATATTCAAACGTTTCTCCGATGGTTCTGTGGGAGAATTCAGCCACGTGTTAATTTATTTTTATTTCTAAGTTGTTTATAGAAACAACTATTCAGACGAATCCTAAAATCTTTAAAACTTTTTGGCAGAATTGATTCTCCCATAAAGTCGCAGAACTTCGCTGCCCTCTTGAGTTCTTTAGAGACCCGCTGAAACATCATAAGAGCACTTATTATTAATAAGAGCAGATATTATTAATAGGAACAGTTATTATTAATGAGAGCTGTTATTATTCATAAGAGCACATTATTAATTAGAGCAGATATTATTAATA